TGCTGGGGGGTGCAGTGGGGGCTGTGGGGCAGGCACTGGGCCTGCGGTGTTGCTGGGGGGTGCAGTGGGGGCTGTGGGGCAGGCACTGGGCCTGCGGTGTTGCTGGGGGGTGCAGTGGGGGCTGTGGGGCAGGCACTGGGCCTGCGGTGTTGCTGGGGGGTGCAGTGGGGGCTGTGGGGCAGGCACTGGGCCTGCGGTGTTGCTGGGGGGTGCAGTGGGGGCTGTGGGGCAGGCACTGGGCCTGCGGTGTTGCTGGGGGGTGCAGTGGGGGCTGTGGGGCAGGCACTGGGCCTGCGGTGTTGCTGGGGGGTGCAGTGGGGGCTGTGGGGCAGGCACTGGGCCTGCGGTGTTGCTGGGGGGTGCAGTGGGGGCTGTGGGGCAGGCACTGGGCCTGCGGTGTTGCTGGGGGGTGCAGTGGGGGCTGTGGGGCAGGCACTGGGCCTGCGGTGTTGCTGGGGGGTGCAGTGGGGGCTGTGGGGCAGGCACTGGGCCTGCGGTGTTGCTGGGGGGTGCAGTGGGGGCTGTGGGGCAGGCACTGGGCCTGCGGTGTTGCTGGGGGGTGCAGTGGGGGCTGTGGGGCAGGCACTGGGCCTGCGGTGTTGCTGGGGGGTGCAGTGGGGGCTGTGGGGCAGGCACTGGGCCTGCGGTGTTGCTGGGGGGTGCAGTGGGGGCTGTGGGGCAGGCACTGGGCCTGCGGTGTTGCTGGGGGGTGCAGTGGGGGCTGTGGGGCAGGCACTGGGCCTGCGGTGTTGCTGGGGGGTGCAGTGGGGGCTGTGGGGCAGGCACTGGGCCTGCGGTGTTGCTGGGGGGTGCAGTGGGGGCTGTGGGGCAGGCACTGGGCCTGCGGTGTTGCTGGGGGGTGCAGTGGGGGCTGTGGGGCAGGCACTGGGCCTGCGGTGTTGCTGGGGGGTGCAGTGGGGGCTGTGGGGCAGGCACTGGGCCTGCGGTGTTGCTGGGGGGTGCAGTGGGGGCTGTGGGGCAGGCACTGGGCCTGCGGTGTTGCTGGGGGGTGCAGTGGGGGCTGTGGGGCAGGCACTGGGCCTGCGGTGTTGCTGGGGGGTGCAGTGGGGGCTGTGGGGCAGGCACTGGGCCTGCGGTGTTGCTGGGGGGTGCAGTGGGGGCTGTGGGGCAGGCACTGGGCCTGCGGTGTTGCTGGGGGGTGCAGTGGGGGCTGTGGGGCAGGCACTGGGCCTGCGGTGTTGCTGGGGGGGGGCGCGGGCGGCTTGGGGCAGGCACCGGGCCTGTGGTGTTGTTGGGGGGGTGCA